TACCAGATAATACAATTCCAGATACTGATGTCTAACCTGTATCATGCCATGGGTTTTTCTACCGGCCCACAAGTTGATTGTGTAAATTTATTCAATGTCTTCCTAATTTTGCATCATCAGACAATGGATCGATAGTTTGTGCAATAAACTATCGACGAAGGTCTTCCAATGGGGAGTAATCAGAGGCAGACAGACCCTGCCCATGTTACAAATAATACCGATGTAAAGCTGCACTTAAAGCTCCCGCTATGCGGTATATGAGATGTGTAATATGCTAGAATCACTTGACATGTGCTGTTACCTGGATCAACTCAAACAACTTGTAGAATGTCAGACTTAAGAGCGAATGTCGGTTTTCATCGGACCTTATCTTGTGGTGATACGGACCCCTCTCAGCAACGCGGCGATAGACAGCACCAAAGGTTGGCTGACTCGGCTGCTTTCGGTCTGGAAACGCAATCTGAAAGAGACGTGCAGCCTCTCTTCCATTACCATTCATGCAATCGAATGTAAAAATCGTATCTGCCCGCTTACAATATCAATAACCTGCCACTGTTAAACGGAACAATTCTCAGTTTACTCATTATCTCACACGATAAGCAGTTAACACATTATCAGCAATATATATATATATATATATATATACATACAAAGTGTAACCCGTATATAAGAGACTTTCTCTGGTCCCAAATTAGAGCCTGTGTTAATGTATATATGTTGAAACTTGACTAATGCATGGAATAATAATGCAACACAAAATGTACTTAGAACAAAATGTATTGAAACAAGAAAGTGTACACAATATTTACATATAGTCTTTTGTATATTCCTGGTAAGACCGTTCCTGGAGAATGTGTTGACTGAGTCGCAGTTGGGCAGAGTCTCTGGTTGAATCTCTTGATTCCTCCCTCTCTTCCCGTACCAACCATATTTATATGGTTGGTACTCCACTATGAAATTTAGGTGGATCCTACCACAACAATATAAAATAGACCAAACCCGGATATAGGAGACTTCTTCTCCTGTCCCGACAACTCTCTTATGTCCGTGTTACACTATATATATATATATATATATATATATATATATATATGGTATTTGTGTTTAATGATAAACACAGATATATTTTCTATAAATATTTTCATTGAATTTGATGAGCTTTCCTCTATGGTAACTAGACCTTTCGCAGTACATTGATACCAACAAGTTTCAATCAATTTCCAGTTAAAATGGCTACATATTACAGTAATTTCTCAGATATCAGTTTCTACTCTCGTAATTCTCACTTGTGAAACTCTATTTCCGGTTTCCTGTTTTCTCAGCCGATTTGATCTTCAAAAATGTAAATGCAATATCAGTTAACTACTGTCTGCTTAATTTCTGATATAGTTTACTCTGTCGCAACGGTAATGTTTTCTTTTTCTCATATTCTTTCACACTGGGTCACACCTTGCGTCTTAGTGGCTTCTTGGGGAAAAGAGATATCTATAATTGCTGATGTGGCGGGTAACTAATTCCTGTCTCGGATACCTGATAATGCACATTTCTGTTTATTCAACACCTACAGAGCTCACCTGTGGTTTCTACTGCATTTATGCGAAGCGTGGAGCATTATATACAGTTTCTGCGAGAGATCCTAGTGTCTGTCATCATCAGTAGTTTAAAAAACGCTAGTAACTGTCAAACACTCGGCCACATTGGCTTGAAATATCGTGCTCTCAAAATTGTCGGCAGTTTTCGAACAGTCGCTTCTCAGAACAATAACCTGAAAAAACAAGCCTCTCCAACTACTCAGCAACGCGTGTATATATATATATATATATATAGGCACACACAAACATATATATATATATATATATATATATATATATATATATATATATATAATTATAGATAACTAGACTCGTTTCGAAAAACCCTCGAATTTTTGATTTGCTAATAATCCAATCAATCTCGAGGGGAAAAAAGATTAAAAAAAAAAAAAAGAAAGAGCTACAAACATGAACTTCTGCCGACAAAAAATCGCACAGGTGCAGGTCTGAAGCCCAAAGGAAAAACCCCGATACGAGTAAACAACTAACCAACAAAAGCGCTCAATACAATAGTAGAGCAGACCTAGATACACCTAGTGAGTCAGACATACCTACCTAGGTTTCAACTAAATGGATCGTCAGGGAAAGTAAGTATATATATATATATATATATATATATATATATATATATACACGCACAGATGTATATACGTACACACACACACACATATTGTTGTAGAGTAGTTTTCACAGTGGAGGTTTGTATTTCAATAAGTCGTCCTAAATTAGGTTCGACGTACAAAACGTTAAGAACTTGGAAATAAGAGTTAATGACGCAGCAATCTAGTTGTGATGGTTGGTACTTCAATGTCCGATATCGTCTGACTTGCTCAAAACCACTGGGCCCAACTGGCCCGCTACGACTACTACTACTTATTATCTGTGGGAGAGTCCATTACAATAGAATAGGTATTATGGCATAACACACACACACACACACACACATATATATATATATATATATATAGAGAGAGAGAGAGAGAGACACACACACATGATAGTATATGGAACATATAAACATACGGGCAGTACCAGACACCATAAAAATACCCACTAGTTGCATACATACACCATTGTCAGCCACATCCCGTATGATACAAAATCGCAAGAATTATGCACACGGACGTGTATTTGTCAAGACGAATACACGTTAGTTGTCCTTAATCAATGATAAACACAAACAAGCTAAGCAAATAGTTAAATTTTATTTTATTTTTTCCTACAAAGTTCTTTTCTGATGAAGCTTAAATAAATGCGAAACATATTTAATTTATAGATGTTTCCTACTTGATATTTATGGCATCACCCATACATACATATTGCGCCCCACTCATATATATATATATATATATATAATTTTTTTTTCTCGCAGAAAAATGTGCGTTTGTTTTTTCTTTTTTAATTTTCAATATTAATTTTATTGAGAATATTAAATATACCTTTCCTATTTCTGGGAAAACTTAATGAAAAGCATGTGCTCAGAAAATTTGACCCTCAAAAGAAATCAGGAGTGTCATCGAACCGCCAATTTCACGGTCTTATGTCAATGTGTAGCAGAATGGCGACTTACCGACAAAAAGACAAATATTGCTAAAACCCACATTAACTCACACGTTATGAACGAACATGTCATAGAAACCAATGGCAATATAATTCCATTTTTCCCTATTGTATACTTCAATCTTCATATTTCACTCCACCCTAAAATATTCATTTTTCTGAACAAAGAATTTCTCTAGACGCCATTTTCAGTATTCCAGCGACTTTTAATCTTCCTCGTTTGATTTTAGTTTTTTTTTTCTTTTTCTTTCATTAAGTGATTTCAGGAAGAAAGGGGCCACAATGTACACGAATGGTGTACACGCTTTATGAATGAATTCATCCCTTCAAGTTGTAAAAATTTTTGATTGATGACCAAAGAAACATGCCGTCTTATTTTAGCCTAATGGAATTTTATGCGCTTTCTATCAACTAATTCTACACGTGTTCTTTGAATGTTACATTCGAATGGCCTACTCAGGTGCATTGGTTTGTTTGAAGCTATTGTTTATCTCTACCAATGTTACTAAACAACACACTACTCCCTTTCAAGCCTACCACTTATTCAACATCGCCTTTTTTCGGGAAGGAAACCGGATATTATATATTAGAAGTGATGCATTTCGCTTGCTTCAAAGTTTTTGGCAGTGAGTGTTTTAAAGAAATTTTCTGTTTAGATGCATTGTTATTCTAACCCATTGCTGTTGGAAGAAATATTCACATCTTTGAATGATACGCACAGATATTAACACACACGTGAGTGCGCGCGCACACACACAAAACATAGGCATCAACACACTCAAACAAAACCAAGACATCAACAGACACGCAGATACATCAACATACACTGAAACACATACACCAACACAACACCGGCATCAGCAGTCACAGCCACACAAGACAGAGGCATCAGCAGTCACAGTCACAGCCCCACAAGACAGACGCATGAACAGTCACAGCCCCACAAGACAGAGGCATGAACAGTCACAGCCCCACAAGACAGAGGCATGAACAGTCACAGCCCCACAAGACAGAGGCATGAACAGTCACAGCCCCACAAGACAGAGGCATGAACAGTCACAGCCCCACAAGACAGAGCATGAACAGTCCACAGCCCCACAAGACAGAGGCATGAACAGTCACAGCCCCACAAGACAGAGGCATGAACAGTCACAGCCCCACAAGACAGAGGCATGAACAGTCACAGCCCCACAAGACAGAGGCATCAACACACACCCGATACAAAGTCTGTATATATATATATATATATATATATATATATATATATATATATATATATATTTTATTTGACATTAAGTTCAAGAATCAATAAAACTACTCCAATTTGGACTTAGTGAAAGAAAATACTAATATGATAGCAATTCCTTTAAAATCTTATTTTTGAATGAGTTAAAAATAAACGCTCTTGGCCAGTTCAAGAAAAAAAGTGCTTTTTTTTTTTCATTTGTTATTAAATTGATTCCCATAATACAGTGGATGCTCAAGAACTATTATCAAGGGAATTCCTCAAAAAGTATATACATCTACCAGAAATATATATAATGTGCATGCGTGCAAATACTGATATCGATGTATGAAGTCCAGTAATTCAGCGTATAACGACCACAAGGCAACCTATACAGGGGATTTGTTGACAGTGAAGTGCTGTATACTATCATCACAGTTTTCTGGAGAATTGTTTACAGAAATCGCGTAGTGTTGCTCGAAGTCTCCAAACAAACCTACTCCTGTGAAAATTTAGAGATTTTATTGATCTAGAGTTGCTGCTACCTCAAGCAATAGAATTACGTCTGGTCTATTATTTAAACCGAAGCTGGAGTAAGATGGATTGATGTAATTTTCCGACAAATGATCAGAATTTTAAATTGTTTCATCAATTTCGGTTCCCACGTCGAGAACTATTACATCGTGTGCTCTAACGCTCCACATCTGTGTTTATCACCCACTTTCCTTCCTTCTCTTTCATTTTCCTCCCTCATATACGTCTCACTTTCCCTCCTTTATATCCACTTTTCTCTCTCTCCGTCTTTTTCTTTTTTTTTCTTCTCCACATCTTTTTTCTTTTTTTTCTTCTCCACCTCTTTTTCTTTTTTTTTCCTTTTTTTTTTTTTTTTTCTTCTCCTCCTCCTTTTCTCCTTTTTTTTTTCTTTTTTCTTCTCCTCCTCTTTTTTTTTTCTTCTCCTCCTTTTTTTTTTTCTTCTCCTCCTTTTTTTTTTTTTTTCTCCTCCTCTTTTTCTTTTTTTTTCTTCTCCTCTTTTTCGTTTTTTCTTCTCCTCCTCTTTTTCTGTTTTTTTCTTCTCCTCCTCTTTTTCGTTTTTTTCTTCTCCTCCTCTTTTTCGTTTTTTTCTTCTCCTCTTTTCCTTTTTTCTTCTCTTCCTCTTTTCCTTTTTTCTTCTCTTCCTCTTTTTCTTTTTTCTTCTCTTCCTCTTTTTCGTATTTTTTTTCTCTTCCTCTTTTTCGTATTTTTTTTCTCTTCCTCTTTTTCGTATTTTTTTTCTCTTCCTGCCTCTGTTTCGTATTTTTTCTCTCTCCGCCTCTGTTTCGTATTTTTTTCTCTCCGCCTCTGTTTCGTATTTTTTTCTCTCTCCGCCTCTGTTTCGTATTTTTTCTCTCTCCGCCTCTGTTTCGTTTTTTTTCTCTCTCCGCCTCTTTTTCGTAATTTTTTTTCTCTCTCCGCCTCTGTTTCGTATTTTTTTTTCTCTCTCCGCCTCTGTTTCGTATTTTTTTTCTCTCTCTCCGCCTCTGTTTCGTATTTTTTTTTCTCTCTCCGCCTCTGTTTCGTATTTTTTTTCTCTCTCCGCCTCTGTTTCGTATTTTTTTTTCTTAGATATCTTTTCTGTTCTCGGCATTCAAGCTGATACCAACATGTAAATTATTCTCCCCCACCTGACAAGGACTTATGCACTCAGTTCTTTGTGACCTGGATCATTAGGACGTTGACGTTAATGGCTCTCTGCATTTCCCTGTCCTTTCTAGCGCTTAATAAATGTCTGTTCGTTATCTAAAATTGTTTCTGACATCAATTTACAAATGTTCATTAGTTTATATTTTTTAATGATTTCACCTCAATCAAGGCGATAATGTCACTAAGATGCAAAGGAATACAGGAAGTGAGTGTGAATGAGAAAACTTAAGTGAGGAGAACGACAATAAATAAACATCGTTCAGAAAGACATAAGATGGCGATTAACGTTGCTTTTGAAGATTGTAGATGGCAGAGAAGCTGCAAATTGGAAGGGAGTTCCATAGGCTGGAAACTTGAGAAAAGAAAGTATTCGAAAAGAACTGACGGTTGCATCGATCTAGCTCAACAGTAAAACAGTTGCCAATCTAGTAGCACGCTTAAATTCATGCAATCTGTGCACGAAGGAAATAACTCTTCGGAACAAATGCAATGGAAATATTTGTAGAAAAGAGTAAATGGTAATAAAAGTTTCCGGGTGGAGCGAAATGGAAGTGCAAGTTTCCGGTTTGGGCGAAATGGAAATGCAAGTTTCCGGGTCAACCAATTTTTGTATTTCCAGCTTATAATTTGAATGTTAGCGACTTCGACGAGATTCGGGCGCGTAAATACTCAAATATCTCATCAAACGATGTCGACGAACACACGAAGTCTGCTACTGAGAGCCCATTGTCCAATGTTTTCATATCGACCAGGGTTATGAAAAGATGCGTTGAATCGGGATGTGCAACATTCAGGACAATAATCTCATGAACAGAAAAAAAAATAATGAGTTGGAAAGAACAACAAAAAAAAAATTTCATGGAAGGAACGGACAAATTGCTAAAATATCTAAAATACCCTTAAACAAGATGAAAAAAATCTAACTAGGACAGCAACAAGACGAAAGACACTAAAGACAAATACTTATTTAGTAAATAGGTAAAGTCCTTGATTACCTGGACAGAGTAAAACTCTTGACAATTTTAACTCCTATGAAAGGATGGGCCTAGTCCTAACCGGATTTTCATGCTCAAGCGATCTTTAAAGTGAACGCCGAAGTCAAGTTGTCTGAAGATAGCGCGAGTGGGAAACTCTGCTTACGATTAGGGTCATCCTTATATATATATATATATATATATATATATATATATATATATATATATATATATATATATATATATATTTATATATATATATATATAATGTGTTACATAGGTAGAAATGTATGTACAACCTTTTCGATATAGACTAAACTGCGTCTAGAGATTATATGCAAAAGAGGTATTGTCAAATATTTTATGTAAAATTCATAGATGTGTGTTATCCAATGAAATAATTTGTACTATTATGTATAGCGAGTAAGCATGAAAGCAATTAAGTCCCAATTTTCAATTTCAGATTGATATTTAGTATTTTTTCAGTAATTATTGCAATTTGTAGTGTCAAGAGATTATTTGCCATAATTAGAATTTAGTATTATGGCTCGTAAAAAAGAACTAACAATGAATGAAAAGAGCTATATAATCAAAGAAATTAGCAAAGGAAAGTCTTCGCTACAAATTTCTAAGGATTTGAAAAGGAATCATCGAACAATCAAGAAAATATGTCAAATGGGAATTCAACTAAGGAAAAAATCTCAGGCTAAATTCAGGAATTTAACAAAGCGAGATCTATCACATATCCGAAGAGAATTAATAAGAAACCCAAATGCGTCAAGTGCGTTCATATTTGAGGCCGCTGGAGCTCCTATCGTGTCAAGGGAAACAAGGTGTAAAGCATTAAGAAAGTTTGCTGATGTAAAAAATCAAATAAAGTAACCCATTTTAACAAAACATAAGGAAAGAAGATTGCAGTGGGCAAAAAATACATGAAAACTGATTTCAGTAAAGTGCTTCTTACAGACGAATCAAGGACCACCCTCGATGGGCCCGATGGATGGGCTCGAGGATGGGTTTTCAAGCAACAAGAAAAAATTTTAAACGCCAACAAGGCGGCGGTGGGATCATGATATGGGCTGGGATTATTGGTAATGAGCTTGTGGGTCCATTTAAACTGAAAGACGGGGTTAAAATGAATTCCAAAAGTTACTGTGATTTTCTAGAGCAATATTTCTTTGAATGGCTTGATAACCTGTTTTTAGTCAAGTGTAGATCTATGATCTTTATGCAAGACAACACACCAAGTCATGCATCAAAGTTTACTAAATGCATTTACTTACTGGTTGAAAGAAAAGGGATATTTTGAAGATTCTCTTATGGACTGGCCTTCAAATAGCTGTGACTTGAATCCAATTGAGAACCTGAGGAGTATCCTCAAGAGAGATATTTATTCCAATGGAAGGCAATTCAACAGCAAGTGTAAATTCTAGGAGTCCGTTAAAGTTGCTGCATACATCTTACCAGCCGCAAAAAAATTGTAAATCTAACATCAGATGTTGACAATAGGCTGCTAAGAGTTATTGAAATGAAAGGGGCATTTGTGCAATAAATTTAAGAGGTCCTTATTTTTTGTTAATATATCTTTTATTTTTAAAATGTTTTTTTTTATGTTTTTCCTTTAAGAAATTGACGAATTTGTTCTAAAATCTTTTCATATTATTTTTTACATTAGTTTTACAAGGTATAGTAATGTAAAAGTATCAAAATAAATAGTTGCAAATAAACTACTGACAGTCAAATTATTCTGTTTTGATAACTTAGTAAAATTTTTTTCCAACCAAAAACAATAGTTTTCTCTATCACGATATCTCTAAATTAATGATGTTGAGTAGAATCTAAACAACATCATATTAGGACTTTTAACACTAAAGACGCAACTCTTTATACCAATTCATAACTTGCATATAATCTGTAGACGCAGTTTTACATTGTAACTCCGTTATTTGCGTTTGTAATTTGTAGCAGTTTTTTTTATATTTTTTGTGCTCACATGACTGTATTTATATGAAAACAAATATTTTATAAGCCTGGGTTCCTGAGTCAGTATACGCTGTAAAACAGGTACTATATATATATATATATAACACGTTGATGGTATAAAGATGCCATTCTTACATGTTTTATTCATAGTCGTCTTTTACATGTTATCATATCTCTAGCTTTTTTTTTCTTTATGATCAACTTTCTATGTTCATCATTCTCCTTTTCCTTTCATTTTATCCTTTTTATTTTTCATCTTTCCTCTTACACTGTTTTCTTCATTAGTTTCCTTTTTAGGTCCTTTCTCTTTCGCTCTTTTCTATAAAGCCTTTTCATTCGCTGTTACTTTTTTTCTTGTATTTAACCGATTTTACACAAACATTATTTCTTAGAATATTTTATTTCTGTTTGTCTCATCGCTTGTGTTCTTCTTTGTTACATGTTCTTACTGTTCTTTGTCTTTTATTATCTTTTCTTTCCACAGATATTTCTTTCTTTTCCGATTCGGTTCATTTCTGTTTTCTTTTCATCTAATACAATACATTTCATCTTGAATTATCTATCTATCTATCTATCTATCTATCTATCTATCTATGTATTTATCCGTTTCTCTCCCTCTCTCCCTGTACGTCTCTCTCTCTATATCTCTGTATGTCTGTCTGTACGTCTCTCTCTGCCTCTCTGTCGCTCTCTGTGTGCCTCTCTGTCGCTCTCTGTGTGCCTCTCTGTCGCTCTCTGTGTGCCTCTCTGTCACTCTCTCTGTCACTCTCTGTGTGCCTCTCTGTCACTCTCTCTGTCACTCTCTGTGTGCCTCTCTGTCCTCTCTGTCACTCTCTGTGTGCCTCTCTGTCACTCTCTGTGTGCCTCTCTGTCACTCTCTGTCTGTCTCTTTCTGTCTGTCTCTGTCTGTCTCTGTCTGTCTCTGTCTGTCTCTTTCTGTCTATATATATTCATTCTTTGATTTTGTTTGTTGACTTGTTTTACTC